AAGCTTGTTGTTCGCTAACTATGGTTATGGTGGCACTGTTGTTGATGGATTTTAATTCTCTGAAGTTGACACTTGTAAATTTCTGTAAAGTTTATTTTTTTTTAAAAAAGAAGATTTTATATTTTATAAAAATAATAAAATATAAAAAAAATTACATAAATTTAACTTTAAAGAATTTAAATGCGTTGTGGAGCAAAAGTGAAGCATCCCATCCTTGTCAGTCACATGACGAGTATTTGCAGTCATGTCAATGTTGACATTGATAAGCAACTTCCTGGATCTTTCCTCATGTCTCAAAAAAAAAAAAAAAAAAAACCATAATACGAAACTACTAAATAGCTTTTCTTTTTATCTGTCTCTCCTATAATTTCATACTCTATAATCTATAAAGTTAAATGATGTATAGGTGTGGTAAATCTGTTTTTTAGATATTCTTTTTTTAAAAAAATATAAAATATTTTTAATTGAATTTCACCCCTAATAAAATAATTACCTACTTTAAAACTAATCATATTTTTTTATATTTATCACCTATTAAATACTTTATAATAAATATATAAAGTCATTCATCAATAAGAACACTTTTAAAAAAAAGCAATAATTACACCTCAAAAAATTAAAAATATCTTACATTTTTAAACATTCAATTCTTCAAAAAAATGTCTTATATTTTTTAATGAAGGGAGTAATAATTATTGTTTATATAGAGATGGGACTAATTACGATGGTTCTATGAACCTCAACCCTGTCTCTTGATATAACTTCCTAGTCTCTTAAAGTTTTTATGACAGTAGAAGCATTTCTTGCTTTTTAGTTCTGTTTTAAGGCTCGGAATGATCATGGTAGTATGTTTCTTTTCTTTCTCTTTGTGCTGTTTTGTAATGAGTCTAGGGTTTTTTCTTTTTTATTGTTTCTTTTATTTATATTTTGTTCATTGTATCTTGTTTATCTTTGTAAACCCTATAGTTTTTCATAATATTTTATGTTTTTGATAACAACACCTAACACTAGTTGGATTGGTGACAGAGATTAATTAATTAATGCTCTTTAAGTGTAATATTCATCCTATTTAAAATGTTCATCAACACGTTATTCAAGTTTGCCAAGGGTACAGTACAGTTGTTAATTATGACACAGAATATACATCAAACGGAGACTTTTCTACTCACAAAGCCCGATGGACACGTTAATTATGACTGGCTCTATGTGTGTGTATTCCGTGGCCTAAGTGTTCAAAAAGAAAAAATATATTTTCTAGAATTGGTTTAGTTGACTGTTGTCCATGACAACAAATTGAGGGAAATTAAATTCATGGATTATAATTTTACTACATTCATAATTAAAGATCTTAATAATTCTTGTGAGTTAAAGTTGTTAACTTTAAAAAAAATTGGGGTTAACTTTCTCGCATTATAACTTGTGTATTCTTTTTACTAAAGTTGACTCTATATTGAAAATTAATGATAACAATCTGAGTTATTTAATGAGATTTTAAAGTTTTTTTTTCACAAATTTTAAAAAAATCACAATGCTTGAATGTAAGTGAAACTATCACTTGTTTTTTTTTGTTTTTGTAGAAGCAAAATCATATATATCAATAAGTATTTATTATAATTTTTTTAAATGACCCTTTATAAACTTATAATTTTCATTCACAAGAAAAAAAATAATGCAACCTTATTTTGATTAAATATAAGGATATTTTAGTCCATAATTTTTCATTTCCAAGCACAATTATTATAATTAATTAATTTTTTTAAACTATATGATACAGTTATTTTCTCTTATAGATATAGAAACAAAGAGAGTATATACTTGCCCTAATTGACAGGCATAAGATTAATAAGTCAATGACAGAAAGACTTCAAAAACAATTTATTTATGACTTAAAAAATTTTGTTTGTAATTAATTTTGCCGTTTTTAATACGCATGACCATAACGAGTCAATCATGAAAGACTCGAAAACAAATTGCCTTTCGAATACGTAAAAAAATATATAAATATAATTTCTTATGTTCTATTTTTATTGCTCTTATTCATTAATTAGGTGCCTATATTTTTGCACAACATGCATAGCAGAGGATCAATCCATAACATGCCATTATTCTAATCGCTAATACATAATAACTACTAACGATCAAGTGTCTTCAAAAAGAATTAATTAGATTTTTTTAAAATTTTCTTAACTTATGTAAGAGATTGTTCATTGTTTTAAGGAAGAAAATAATTAGAGAAGAATTTTCTACTTGGAAAACCCCATTCCACACTTCAGTCCAAAAAAACGAAGATCATTCCACATGTAATTATATGACTGACTATATGTGTGTGTGTGTATGGCACTTAGACTCGTTTGTTTAAACTTTTATATCAAAAAAAATAATTATTCTTTTTTAAAAAAATTATTTTGTGATGTCTGTCTAAACTTTTAAAAATAATCAGAAGATGAAAAGAAACAATTTTTTGACTATTTTGAGAATCTAATTTGAATAGTTTTTGGAAAAATATAATATGATGTATTAGATAGAATGTCATACAAATGCATTGACAAATAAAAATATCATTAAATTTTTGAATGATTAAATAAAAATATATTTAAATAATAATCACTTTGTATTATTATAATCATATATAAAATAAAATCTACTCTATATAAAATCAAAAAAAAAATTTATAAAATTTCTACTCCTTTTAACCTTAAAAAATGTTCCTTAATTTTATGACAAGAATAGACATAAGCTTGATATTATTGATAGAACTGGTAATTTAGGCTGAACTTAGTAAAATAATAATTCTTTTTATGTTTGAGCCTATTTAAGCAAATAGGCCTGATTTGGGCTTAGTTCAAATACTTGAATAGAAAATTATATTTTTAAAAATATATAAAACGTAATAAAATTTAATTAATTTTTTAAGTTGTGGGTCATTTTATACTAAAATAATATATGTATTTTTTAAAAAATCAAAAATATTTATATTTTTATATTTTTATTATTTTTAACTTATAAGATATTTTAAAATAATATTTAAAATATATTTTAATATTTATTTTTATATTTTAAGGCCTTTATATTTTTTTAAAAAAATTTGAGTCCTATAGTATCCAAAATATATATTTTAAATTTTTTGTACAATAAAATAGTTAATTTTAAAGTAAAAAATTTAATAAAACATAATTTTAAAAATAAATTTTGAATATTTGGACTGTTTGAAGTCCAAACAATTAACAAGAATTTGGGTTGAACTTGGCCATTTAAGATTTTTTGAAAGTCAGCCCTGTTCAGATTCATGTCTATTTCTAGCTTGCCTAAATTGTCGGCATTAATTATTGAGAAATATCCAATCCTCTAATTGAGTTGTTATTGCTATAAGCTTGTTGCTAGCTACCTATGGTTGTACTGTTGTTGAGGGATTTAAATCTTTTGAAATACTAGATATTTGTAATTTTTTTATGAAATTTATCTTTTATAGAAAGAAAGACAAAATTTTATTTGGCATAAAAAATAATTAAATAATAAAATAATATTGAAAAACAAAAACTTGACATTCATGTCAGTCACATGACCTGAAATTCATCAGCAACTTCCTGGACCTTTCCTCATGTGTCAAACAAAACATATTATGAAACTACTAATAGCTTTTCTTTTTTATCCGTCTCTCCTTTTATTCCTCACTCTATAAAGTTAAATATGATATCTGGAGATGATAAATATATTATTTGAATAGTAATTATTGTTTATATAAGAATAAAACTATTAGGCTTAGAATAATTATGGTGCTATGTTTCTTTTCTTTGTATTGCTTTGTATTGAATTTAAGTTTTTGTTTTGTTTTTTTGTTTTTTTATTTTTATTTTGTTCGTTATTTTATTTATCTTTGTAAACTTTATGATTTTTCATGATATTTTATGTTTCTGCAAAAACAAAAAAAAACAAAAGAAAAGAAAAGAAAAGCATGTATCTAATACTAGTTAGATTGGGAGACAGGGTGACACTGATTAATTAATTAATGCTCTTTAAGTAACATATTCATCCTATTTAAAATGTTCATCATCACGTTATTCAAGTTTGTGAAGGGTACAAACAATTGTTAATTATGACAATGAATATCAATAAAACAAGACTTTTCTACTCAGAAAGCCTATTCTACACGTTAATTATGACTGACTACACACACACACACACTATTTGTGTGGGGCTCTTTAATAATTTTGTCTTTAGGAAAAAAAAATCATCACAAAAAAAAAGGTGGCTGACATTAACATTCTATCATTCAACTTTATAATGTTCAATGAGAATATATATGTATATAGTCTATAAAAAAAAGAATATATATATATATATATATAGTTAGACAAGAGTTTTTGGTGTGTATATTGACACATTTTTTAAATCAAAATTTTTAATATATAATTTAAACATCTTTTATAATAGATAAAAATATCCTTAAATTAAAATGGTTTGAGTGCGAGGCAAAAAAGAAATCAATGTTAAGATAAAATGAAGACTTAAAGATTATTTAGAAGGTTTATTTTTTCTTTTTTATGGCATGGTAGATATGTTTGCTTATTACATTATGAAAAATTATGCAACAAGAAATTTTTTGCAATTTATATTGAAATATAACTGAATATAATCTTAAAACAAAATAAATCGAATATAATTTAATCTGAAAATTTTTGGCAAGAATGTTGTTTAAAAATTAACATAATTTGATATTCAATAAAAAAATGATTATTGAATATCAATTGAGCCACTGACTCATATGTCGAATCAGGCTTAAAAAAGAGAGAAAGAAACAGGAAAATACTTCTTTTGCAACAAACACACAAAATTAAAACGTGTTTTTTGGAGCCAATATACATATGTATATATTTAAAAAAATTATGATGATCCACGTGAATTATTGTCCAATGAAACCCACAAAGTTCCACAAGTGACATCATATATACACAGCTCTTCTTTCGAGAATTGTATTGCCTTGAAAGTATCCATTACAGGATCAGAACATTTGTGAGTGAAAACCTTTGATTGACGTTGTCATGATGGATGGTCCCTGCAATATTAATGTTCTGTTTATTTTTCTTTGGTTGCTTACCTTAGCAAATGTTGATTTATGCATTTCCAGTGCATTCTCTAAGATTCAGTGCATTCCAAGTGAGCGAGAGGCCTTGCTTAAGCTGAAGCATCATCTCTCGGATCCTTCAAACAGGCTTTCCTCTTGGTCTCCCCATGGAATTAATTGTTGCAGTTGGGAGTTCGTTGTTTGCAGCGACATCACAGGCCATATTCTTGAGCTTCACCTCACAACTCTACCTCCTTTACAGTTATATGAGACATCAATGTTTGGTGGTGAGTTACATTCTTCTGTGCTTGATTTGAAGCATTTGAATTACCTAGACTTAAGTGGTAATGATTTCGGTGGTATGCAAATTCCTGCTTTTCTTGCTTCAATGGCTAGCTTGACATATCTTAACATATCTCTTGCCGGGTTTGATGGAAGCATCCCTCTTCATTTTTGGAATCTTTCCAATTTGATCTATCTTGACCTTGGAGGTAATTATTTTGAAGGAAGCATTCCTTACCAAATTGGAAGTCTCTCCAATTTGCACTTTCTTGACCTTAGAAATAATTATCTCAATGGAAGCATTCCTCATCAAATTGGAAATCTCTCCAATTTGGTCCATCTTGGCCTTAGAGGTAATGATTTCAATGGAAGCATTCCTCAAGAAATTGGAAACCTCTCAAATCTAAACTATCTTCAACTTGAAGGTTTTAGTCAATTTTCCAAGGATGGATATGTACCGATGTCAACATATGTTGAAAATCTTCATTGGCTTTCAGCTTTGTCTTCACTCCAATATCTTGAGCTCATTCATGTAAACCTATCCAATATCATTGATTGGTTGTAGGTTCTACATTCACTTCCCACCTTAAGAGAGTTGCACTTGTCATACTATGATTTTAATAATCATTTTCAACCGTCTAATGCAAACTTTTCATCTTTAATTGTCCTTGGTATTTTTGGTAACTACTTTGGCACTCCAAAATGGATATTTCAATTGAAAAAATTGGTTTATCTTTAATTACATGAATTTCAAGGTTCCATCCCAAATGGCATTCAAAACTTAACACTCCTTCAACATCTTGATTTGTCTTACAATTATTTCAACTCTTCCATCCCTAATTGGGTATACAGTTTTCGTTATTTAAAGTCTCTCATTCTTTCTTCTAACTCCTTGGTTGGCACAATTTCTAGTAACATTGGAAACTTGACTTCTCTTGTTACTCTTGATTTGAGTGATAATCATTTGGAAGGGCCAATTCCAATTTCTATGGGAAATCCTTGCAACTTGAAAAAATTGTCTTTTTCAAGCAATAAGTGAAACCAACAAATTTCTGAAATATTAAAAATCCTTTCTGGATGTGCTTCTCAAGCATTGAAAATTTTTGATATGGATGATGCTCAATTATTTGGCCATCTCACCAATCAGATTGGTCTTTTCAAAAATCTTATTGAACTTGATCTTTCTTTCAACTCCATTCAAGATCCCATACATAGCTCATTGGGAAATCTTACATCTCTAAAATACCTTGATCTAGGTAACAATGCCATTAAAGGAGAACTTCCTAACTCCTTAGGAAATCTTACATCTTTGATATATCTTTCTCTTCATTACAACGTTATTCATGGTGCACTTCCTAGATTGCTGGGAAATTTAACATCTTTGATGTGTCTTGCTCTCACAAAAAATCAACTTGATGGAAATCCTTTTAAAATTCTAGGATCACTCTCTAAATTGAATGACCTATATTTGGGATATAATCTCTTTCAAGGAGTTGTCAAAGAAGCCCACCTTGTTAATTTTACCCAATTGCAAGTGTTCTCAGCATCAAAAAATCAGTTCACTCTACAAGTAGGCCCTAATTGGAGTCCTCCTTTTCAACTCATGCAGATGTTAAGTTTGGCCCCTTGGAATTTAGGTCCCCACTTTCCTTCATGGATTCAATCATTGAACCATCTTTATTTTTTGGACCTCTTAGACACAAAGATTTTTGATTCTCTTCCAACTTGGTTTTGGGACACAATAGGCAATAATGCTCGATATTTGAATCTCTCTCACAATTAAATTGAAGGAGAGCATTCGAATATGCGGATAAACACAACATTTTTCTATGCTGTTGTTGATTTAAGCTCAAATAAGTTACATGGCCAATTACCTTATGTATCACAAAATGTGATGTACTTAGACCTTTCAAGCAACTGGTTTTCAAGATCGATTGTTCATTTCTTGTGTCATAAACAAGAGAAGACAAAGGAGTTAGAGTTTCTTAATTTGGCATCAAATAATTTATCAGGTAAGATACCTAATTGCTGGATGACATGGCCATATCTTAAGACAGTGAACTTAAAGAACAACCATTTCACTGGGATCTTAAACATATCTGTGGGATCCTTTCCATGGTTAGCAATGTTGAACCTTCGCGGTAATAATTTTTCTGGAAACTTCCTAACTTTTTTGAAGAACACAAGCAACTTGATTTTCTAGGATTTAGGAAAGAATCAATTTTCAAAAAGGATTCCAACATGGATTGGATAAAGGTTGTCAAATTTAAAGATTCTTGTTCTTAGATCGAACAAATTTTGTGGTCCAATTCCACGTCAACTTTGTGGCATGAGTGTTTTATAAATTTTGGACCTTGCACAAAATGAGTTGATGGGACAAATACCAAAATGTGTCAAGCATTTGAGTGTCATGTCAGTGATTAATAGTAGTTTGAAGTCATCCATTTCTTTTTGAGACATTTATGTTGATTCATTATTGGTAGTTGAAGAGCTATTGTTGAAAGGAAGATTTTATGATTACAGCACCACCCTTGGTCTTATCACCAATATGGACTTTTCATGTAATGAATTATTTGGAGTGATACCAACAGAAATTACAGCACTTAAGGGACTCCATTTTTTGAACATTTCAAATAATCATTTCATAAGCCAAATTCCTCAAAATATTGGCAATATGAAATCACTGGAGTCTATGGATTTTCAAGAGATCATCTTTCAGGTGAAATCCCCCAAAGCATTTCTGAATTAAGCTTTCTAAGCTTCCTAGACTTGTCTTGCAATAATTTAAAGGGGAAAATTCCAACAGGGACCCAATTGCAAAGCTTTGAAGTATCAAGTTTTGTTGGCAATGATTTATGTGATACTCCACTCACCATTAATTGTACATCAAATGGCACAAATGGCAAACACCAAGAAGTTGACAAGGTGAATGGAATTAATTGGTTCTTTGTGAGCATGGCATTTAGATTTATTGTGGGATTTTGGGTAGTGGTGGGTCCTTTACTCTTCAACAGATCATGGAGGCAAGCTTATTTTCAATTCATCAATAGTATGTGGTATGAATTGCAATCTAGTTGGTACTGTTGAGAAAGCTAGGCTAAATTTGCATTTGGAAGGTAGGTGTTGGTATAATATCAGTGATTTATCTATCTTGTAATCATATTCGCTTTTCATTGATTTGAAATTGATGCAAATAAATTCTTTGACAAGCATTGTGTAATTGAATTATGAATGTTACGCCATTGTATAATGTATTCCATGTGATGAATGAGTCTCTTTATAATAGATGCATTAAATATAAGACCGAAGGAAACACAATTATGTATTTATTTCATAAATAATATTTTAAGAATTACTATGAATTTATGAAAGTCTCCAAGCCTAAATTATAAATGCATATATAAACAATTTCTTAATCTCCTACTAACGTCTGTTTAATAATGAAATCTAATAGATTCGATACATTATTCTTAAATAAGCAATACTTCATCTCACAAAACCATTAACACTATCACCAACAATCAAACAACTAAGTTAGTATTTTGTTATAACTAACAATATACTTCATCACCTTACCCCAAAATAAATCATGATGATGATGATGATGCTGGCGCCAGTCTTAGATGACTATTGATGTCTAGTTTCAATTATAATACAAATAATATTAAAGTCAACTAGGCTTTAAATGTGAGACTTAACTGTGGATACAATATCTAGGCTCAAAATCAATTTTTAAATAGTTAAACAAATACCATTCACCAAACCAAAATAATCAAGCAACTCTCTCTCTCTCTCTCTAATTAAAATCCAAGTCCTTTTCTATGCAGCCTAATATCAAGGGCATTGTCAATAAAATGCCATGTGAAACATTTTTCTCAAACTTACTTTTGAAAAAACCTGAATATCATAAGATAAATCATAAGAATTTTCATATCAACATGCACACCTACCCCTTTACTCATTCTTAGGAACAACATCTGGAATACCTTGAAAGTATATGCAATTTAGAGATTCAAACATTAAATGAAAGAGTGAATTAGAAAGTTTGTCTATCAATTATCTCCTAATGTTTCCACATTAAATTAATGCATTTAGACATTCAACACTCAAAGCAGCAAGATAAATTTCTCAATATGTAAACTTAACCCCACAACAACACTCATAAATGAAAAGAATATTAGATATAAAGAACCAAAACAATCATATTCATCCATTTCTAGAAAATAAATAGATGAAGATGGCTAATAATATAAATTCTTAGGTGCACATAATTTAACGGCTCCCAATACATTTGAAAACACATTACAATTAGTGTCTTCTAGATTGGGGATTTCACTAGCATACCCACTTTGGTGAGAGTTTTGATGTACTTTTTTGAGTCATCTTTGCCAAGAAGAAGACTCAAAAATGTAGATTGAAACTCTCACTAAAGTGGGTGATTGGGATATGCCACTGGAATATCCAATCTAAAAGACAATTAGTTGAAGTGGGAGATAATTTACTTTAATATTTGCTCATGCACAATAATAAGTTATTTTGCTATTGAGCTAAAAAGAATTGCCAGTATTGTCTAATTAATTGTGATTGGTTAATGACTTTTTTTAGAGAGTTTTTGACATCTAATAAAGCAACATGTGCAGGATTTAGAGCATAATTAACTAATTATTCTTCATCTAAATTCAATTCTAGATTACATAAAATATGAAATTATAAAAAATGAAGAATAATCTAACCACAAAATACATAGCTTTAACATGAGTTTGTATAAACTAAAACTTTATTCATTGATGAGCCTATTGTTACTAGTTTGTAATTGAAGAAATAGGGAAAAGAAAATGAAAATTGAGCCCATAAGCCATTACTGAGAAATCCACTATAAGATAACTAACTCGGTCAAACGTCGATTCAACAATTTGAAGAACCTTCACAAGCTAATCAAAAGATTGGAATAGAATATGACATAAATGGTACTGACAAACAGAGGTAGGAAGAATTTTTCTGCAAAAATATGGTAAAAAATTCAAGTCTTTCAAGAGCTACAAGCCTATCTTTACCTTTGTCATATTTATTTTCTTTAATTTTTGTTTTCTAAGATCATTTGCTATCATTTACTAATAACCTTACACAATTCTTCCATTCATGTCTGTTTAATGGCATTACCTTGATAATTTTACAGTTCTTTTTATTGCTCAACAGGTATCCTCTAATTAAAAATAATCCTGTTCAAGACACAGTCGGATACTAAAAAATATGGATACCTTTTCCCGTCGAGATTTAAACTTTGGTTCGTTATGTTGTGACTTGTGAGTGACTAACCCCTTTCTCTATGTCACACCCTATATGCACAAGTACACACCCCTTATGCCTCAATTAAGGAAAAATTTAAAATAAATACATTGGATATATTATAAGCATAATTATATATATATATATATAACTATTTTGCTTTTCACATAAATCAAAATATTAAACTTTTTGTGAAAATTTTGGCAATATCTCCCCTATAAATAGAACCTCCCAAAATTCCTACGACATAAATTTTTACAAAATGACAATCAAAATATGGAGCTTTGCTCCTCAATAGTAGACAGACAACATAAAAAACAAAAAAAAAACAAAACTCTAGCTATAATTAATGTGGAGTACCTTAAACCGCATTTCCAAAAGCAATATATATATATATATATATAATTTAGAATTTACATTAGAAAGGAAGGCATTTTCAAAATAAATATTCACCCAGCTAAGTTGTAAGCCTCTCAGTGATTGGTCAGAGGTTCAACATCAGCTAATAAATTTGAAACAAAAACATTTTTCTAATGAATAGCATCGTAATAATAAAATTTTAAAAGAATAAAATAATAAACCCAAGCAATCATGTAAAATAATTGAAAAGAAAACAAATTAATCCAATAAACTCCCTTAATGTTGGAATCATAAATAATAGGGTTAATAAGCAAATAAAACCCTAAACTCTTGCTCGAAAATCGCCTTGAACCTTGAACTCTTAAAATATGTAAAATAAACACTAAACTTTTAAATTCATAGCAAAATAAACCATGACCGTTAACTTTTTTAACATCGTTACTATTTATGCAGGTACTGTAATAGTCAGGATTAAATTCATATGAAAATAAACCCTGAACAATACTTGTGTTGACAGTAACGATGTTAAAAAGTTAACGGTTAGGGTTTATTTTGCTATGAATTTAAAAATTTAGGGTTTATTTTGCATATTTTAAGAGTTCAAGGTCCAAGATGATTTTTAAGTAATAGTTCAAGGTCCTATTTGCTCATTAACCCTAAATGATAACCATAAAGTGAGAGTGAACTAAAATTACTTTACCCTTTCATGCTATAGAAAACAAATAATTCATATATGAAAAAAAATGGTATACTTTCATTGAAATTTCAAATACACAATTCAATTAAAAATTCAATATTTTGAAGACTTGACAGAATAGGTAACAAACATGAATACACAATCTACAAGAATAAATAACCAAACATAACTTATGAAATAAAGACAAACATGGACACACAGTCCATGAGAAAATTTCTAACCAAATGCTATTTGAAGCCACAAAAATCAAATACAAGTACAAGCCTCACAAAAAAATAAACTAGCTAGTTATTAACCATAAAATACTTCAGGTTAACGTAATTGTTGTTAGTAACCAGTGTGCTGCATATAATCCTCTTTAAAAATCAACTTTCAAATATGCATGGAAGTTTCATAAATACCATGTCATGATTTCATTAATAAATTAATGCATGACTTTAGCAAATAAAAAGCATTTAAATTTACATTTAAACCATTTTATCCAAAATACTATGTTTCACAAACAAGAATAATTTATTTTTTCATGTTATCAGTAATGACAATATTTATTAATAGAAGTTGTTAAGTAAAAATTTAAATAAAATATTATTTTGATAAAAAATTTATAAATTAATTGGGACACTATTTATTTGCGTGTAGTACTCTTGAGGTTCAAAATTCACTTCTTCTAATCTTTAATCTAGTTTCCCTTATTCTTAATTTTAATAAACTTCGTTTCAGCATTAACACCACCATGATCAACTTTAATAATTTAAAGTTCTCCAAACCTCATCATCTATACCGTCCAAAAATTAACTATCAAGAATACTGAAGTTCAAAATACTATAATTTCCATAGTACCACCGTAATACCTTATCCATAGCTCATCTCTCTATTTAAATATGATTTTCACTTAGGCCTTGCACCAAACACTTCATTGTGTGTAAATTTCCAAACCACTTCATACAACTTTTTAATCTTTGAATCTCCAACCCAACAATTTCTACATGCTTTTCAAGTTCAACTCCTACCAAAAATGAAAAATCAATTGTGCTTAAAGAAGGTTCAAACTCATGTCTAACTTCTTCAAGTAACAACTACCCCAACAATAGATAAAATACTTATCAAAAATATACTCTTTAAAGTTAAATCTAGCTTGTTTGAATCTCAATCTCCCCTTCCCAATCAAACATGTATAGGAGCACAAGAGGTAAAAATTGCAACTTAAATCATTAAATCATACACCCACGTATATAGGATCAACATGAAGAAACGTTCAATGCTTCTCACCTTAATTAGCATCGACAGAGAAGGGAAGGAAAAGGAAGAAGCTAACAGAATAGGGGAGAAGAGAACTCGCGACTCAAACTTTTGACAATGACTAACCACCCCCTACACTCTTCTGTGACTCACAGATTGAACAGAGGGAGAGGAAAACCATATGCATCCATGCAACATGGACAAAAGGAGACACAATCGACGCTAGCATTCACAATCGGAGAAGAAAGGAGGAGCTTGAATGGCAACACGTGCACAGAATAATTTGAATATGAAAAAATAATTTGAATGAATAAAAATAATTAAGAGGATTATAAATTTAAAAACATATTTTAAACAAAGATGCATAAAAATGAATGATTTTATGGAATAAAAGTATACAGAATAAATGAAATTCTTTGTATCCTTATATATATATATATATTATATTATAATATATTTTATTTTCGTTTTAATTTGCTGAAGTAAAGAATAAAAGAAATGATTTATAAAGATTTTAAAATATTATAATATTTTATTTGATGGTTTGCTCATTGGCTTTTCCAATTCCCACTTTGAGCATCACACCCCACTTTGCCGAACTGCATCTCTCTACAAAAGGAGAAGATAT